TGCTTATGTCTGCTTTTTTCTTTCATTTGTTCCTTCTGCCATCCTTAGATTTATTCGTTTTTAATCTCAGTTTTTTAGTTAATTGACCTTTTTTTCATTTTTATTTAATAGCAAAACCTTTTAAGTGAGAAAGATAAATATCACACAATCTCACTCATTTGTGGAATATAATGAACAACATAAACTGATGAACAAAAACAGATCCAGAGACAGAGAAGCATTGATCAGACTGCAAACCTCAGAGGGAAGGCAGAGGAGAGAGGGGAAAGGGGGAGAGATCAACCAAAGGATTTGTAGGCATGCATATAAGCATAACCAATGGACACAGACACTAGGGGGGTGAGGACACTAGCTGGTGTGGCTCGGTGAATAGAGTGTTAACCTGAGGACCAAAGGATCCTGGGTTTGATTCTCATCAAGGGCACATGCCTGGGTTGCAGGCTCAATCCCCAGTAGGGGGTGTGCAGGAGGCAGCCGATCAATGATTCTCTCCATTTTCAGAGAGAGAAAATGATTGATATTGTATTTATATATAGTACTTGGTTTCAGAAATCAATAAAAATAGATTTCTTTTTTAAAAAAGAAAAAAGAACGGTATGAGAAAAAGCTGACAGAAGAGAGCCAAGATAAACACCCAAAACAAAAGAAGAAAGCTGCAGAGTCTTTGATAAATAACAAGCAACTAAAAATAAGGTTTAATTAGAAATGATAGCATCTGACCTGGTTCAGAAAAGCAATGTGACAAAAAAAGAAAAAAGAAAAAAAAAAGAAAAGGTTCTCTGAGATTAAAACCAGCTTCCCTAGTTTAACATAGTTCTCTGTGTACAGTGGAGTTTTCTGTGGCAAGTTGATCTCTCGGGCATCTGTGGACACAAGCTTTGCATTGGTTACCATATAAAGGCTGAATGGTCCCTTCCCCTCAGGTACACACAAAATGTATTGAAAAATATTTTAATGCTTCCAGAAGGGACATGGCAAAGTGGGCATGAAATTAGAAGGGACAAAAATTCCATGACAGCTATGACTCCAGCTGCTGGAAGTCAATTCCAGCATGTTCAGCATGCATAAATGATTGCTTGCTGCCAGACAGCTGTCAGGGCATCTTAATCTACATGTTATTGCCTCCTACTGGCCAAACACCTGAACAGCCAGAGGCATTTCCTCAAATATGACAATGGACTGTGTATAGGAAACCTTGGCCTTTGAAGTGTATATCTCCATCTCACCTCACGACACAATTTGTTTATAAAAAGCATGGGGTCCTGAGACTAGGACTGCCGGAGTCCATTCATTGTCTTTACTAGCTGGGTTTGGACAGAGACCCCCCAAAAAAGGCTAGTAACCTTTGAAGTTCTAGTAAAGGTCAGAACTGTGAACTACCCAGTTAATTTAAGTAATAATGGTTGAAGCTTCTCCACCTTAGTTCACTTAATTCCTTAGGTACTTATGTAGATCTTTGTTGATTATTGTTGATCAGATACTCCTGGAGATCTGTTGATGAGTTAATCAGGTACTCTGCCTATTCCTGAAAATTGTCTGCTGATGTGTGTCATTAAAACCTCCTTACCCTAAGGGCTACTCCAGATGAATAAAAGCTTGGTGAGACCTGAGCAAAGGAGGAGGAAGTCTTTCCGGACTTGCCCGCCTGGTCCCCCGGGATTGCAAAATTATCTTGTGACTCTTTCTTTCATTTGTTGTGTGGCTCTTCTTTCAGATACCGAACCCTACTCCACGCGGGTCGTGGAAGGAATCACTCAGCATCTGGCCCCCGTTTCCTGCTTGAGCAGGGTTTGGGGCACCATTTTGCAGTATACAGGGCTATACATTAGCTTTCTTGTCTATGCATTGTGGGAAAACAGCCTTCAAGGCTGGTGAGCTCATTTTTGGCGTCCCAAACAAGGCAAAACTGTGCACCCAAGCTCTCTGGACAGACAGGACCACTGGTCAGTTCTGTAGAAGGTCAAAGTCACTGGCTGGTCTTTTGCCTCAAGTGCTGGTGAGCCACGCAGGTTCTCTGGCCAGGTTTTCTGGTTGGATGAGCCAGGGGATCCACTCAACAGTAGGTGGGGCTATGAGTTAGCTTCCTTGCCTGGGAAGACCGTGTTGGGGGCCCATAGGTGGTGTATTATAGTAAGAATATGCAGATTATGACCTGCTGAATGAAGAGGCACACTTCAACCACATCAGGTTGACAGGTATCTCATTCAGTATCCAAGCTCTCACTTTGGAAAGGAAAGAACCCCTAGGTTGTTTTGATCAAAGGCACAGTTTCAATATACTCACACAAAGAAAGTAAATTACCAGACGTTTCACTGAGAGATGCTGGAAATTGGAATGAGCCAGGGGTTGGGTAGTTCTCCATCCCAGCTCATGAGTGAGCTGGAGATAGAGAATCTTCCATCCGGGACAGTGAAGCATTTCCCCTTGTTTCCAGTGCTCATTGGAGGAAAGAAATGGAACATTTAAGAACTGTAATGCTATCATTTCACCTGAGTTAGCAATGCATTCTGTTGTCTCTTTCTGATTTTAGGAACAACAAGCCAATGATTTATGGAAGAAATATTACAGAGATCACCCATTTCATTCTCCTGGGATTCTCAGATTTTTCCCAGGATTATAGTAGGGCTGTATGTTGTATTCCTGTTGATCTACATTATGACTCTGACTTGGAACCTGAGCCTCATCATCCTAATAAGAATCAACTCCCACCTCCAAATGCCCATATACTTCTTCCTTAGTAATCTGTCTTCACAGATATCTGCTTTCTGACTTCCACAGCCCCCAAGTTGCTGTCGAACTTTTTCCAGGAGCAGCAAACTATAATCTTTGTGGGCTGTGCTTTTCAGTACTTTATCTTTTCAGCCATAGAAGTGAGTGAGTCTTTTCTCATGACAGCTATGGCTTATGACGGATATGCTGCCATTTGTAACCCAGTTCTCGATACATCAATCATGTTGCCTAACCTCTACGTTTGGGTTGTGCTTGGGTCCTATTTGGCTGGACTTTCTGTTTCTATATCCAAACTGTGTGTCATACTTCAGCTCCACTTCTGTGGGCCTAATGTCATCCACCACTTTTTTGGTGACATATTTCAACTGGTAGTCCTGTCCTGCACTGACACTTTCTTTGTACAACTCATGATGGCTATATTGACACTGATCTTTGGAATAATAAATGCCCTAGTCATCATGACATTCTATGTCTATATTGTCTTCTCCATCATGAACATCACTTTATCTACAGACAGGTCCAAGTCTTTCACCACTTGTGCTTTTTATACCTCAGGTATGTTTGTCTACTTGAGTTCCAGTTCTGGTGTTTCCTCCAGGTTCAAAGATTTGCATTGGTCTTTTACAGTGTGGTGATTCCCACACTGAATCCCTTGATTTACATCTGAGGAAGAAGGAAATCAAAAATTCCTTGAAGAGGTTGCAAAAGAAGAGAGGGTATTACTGAGGTCAACAGTCCTGATGTTTTGACAAATTTATCTCATTGGAATCACCTTAATCCACAATAATATGCACATTAATGGAGTGTAATAAAATTCATACCAGCTTTGAACAAAGAAGGCTTAATTAGGCACAGATAACATGACCAAATGGAACCACAGCTGACTGGTGGCTACACAAACCCAGTATCGTTAAGTTTGGGGATTCATTAATTTCCCCCTACATGAGCAGTATAGGGGGAAATTTATTTCACCATTTATTAATCTACCTGCAAATATATGTGAAATATCAAGGTTTAGATACTTGTTGCTTCTTTTTTGACTGTGAGATTGATCTCTGTTCCATCTCAGGCCTCTGAACTTAAAGGAGAGATACCCAGCAGATGCCCCCAGGGATGTAGAAACATTGTCTTCCAAATATTCTTATGCAGCATAGTCCAATGTTTGTTCTGTTTCTGACCATAATGGAAATAGATAGAGAGACGGGATATGTTTTCGTACCGAAACAAATCTATACAATTGGCCTAGTTGTGCCTTCTGGAAAAAACATGGCATCTTTTAGTGCTAATAATCTAATATATTTTTTCGTCACATCTCAGTCTCAAGCAGCTATAGTCTAAGAAGAAGGAGATGATTTGAATCATAGAGAGGAATGGAATGAAGTATGTGGTTACTTCAGTTCCATTTACTTGATTGAGTCCAATGATATAATTTCTTGCTTCTAGTGTCCAGTGCTGATTTCTAACGGGGGAGGATATTCAAAATCCATGTCACAGCCAATAGCAATTTCTGATACTGTGGGACTCAAACTTCTTTTTCTCTCCCCCATTAAGTCTTGATATTTACCCTTGGTTTTATAGTGCATTGGATTGCACTGCCAAGTTATTTCTGATATTTTAACCATTTGTTCAATTTGATGTGAGGAGACTTGTGTGGAAACTCATTGTAATAACAGAGTTACTGAATATTCAATATTGGAAAGACTAAGAACAAAGAAGGAAAACTGCCATAATTCTTTTCTATAGACTGTGTTCAATGGTTTATAACCTAGAGATTTGTGGTTGTATGGAGTGATATGATGGATGGAGTAGAATGGTTATAGTTATTTTAATGGTGATATTTTTCAGGAAACCTCAATGGTTATGAGAGGAAATAGATAGTGGTATAGGCAGGGTTCTTCTCTCTGGCCAGTTATTGGTATCTGAGGAGGAAATAAGGCTCGTGGTCATAGTGGTCTGGTTAAAAAGAAGAACAAGATGTGTAACAAGATTTGGCAGATTGTCCATACTTGAACAAACTGATATAAAGTAGATATTATTGTATTTATATATAGTACTTGGAGATTCATTGGATTTTTAATCAATGTTTAAGTGTTTCAGTTTTAACGAGTCACATGAATTGCTCTGTTTAATTAAGGATTGTAAGTAAAAAAGTAGTTGAAGCCTTTGTTAAATATCCCATGAATTTCCACATGTACAGGATTGAGAGAAGGGGATTGTTGAACCTCTTGGAGAGAACATGTGGGTTTAACATATGGCAAGAATACTGTAATAAGAATAAAGGATATTTGCTTAACCACCCCATCCAGGTATAGGTGTGTTCTTTGATGCATTGCTGTTTCAAATGTGTGAAAATATATGGGATGCCTGTCCCCAAAGGGCCATAGGGATTTGAACTTTGTTAGATATTAGTGGGGGATACTTCCACAATGTTTCACAGATGTATCTCTTGATGAGTTCAGATGAGCTCAGGGAGATAATGAATAAGAACTGCTGATGTTAAATAGAAATTAACATTCTGGGACTGCTGTGCATGGGTGAGGTTGCTGAGAACTGCTGTCTTCCAGGAACTGTCTCCATGGGCTTCTGTTGAGAACAATTAGCTAGAGCTACTGATGATAAATGCCATTGAAGTATTATTTTAAAGAAAAAAATGGGGAAAATAAAACACAGTTATTCTGACTTTCCCCTGAAAAACATTTAGACCAATGGGTACCTTGTGAATGGGATACTTTTCTTTATTTCTTTTCAGATGTTTTGTTGTTAGTGTTTGGAAACGCAACTAATTTCTCTATGTTGATTTTATATTTTGCAACTTTACCGAATTTACTGTCTAATTCTAATAGCTTTGGTGAAGTGTTTAGGATATTTTATATATATAAAATCACCACATGCAAATACATAATTTTACTTCTTTTCCCCCCAATTTAGATGCCTCTTACTTCTTTATATTGCCTAACTGCTTTAGTTCTATGTTGAATAAGAGTGGTGGCAGTGGCTATCCTTATCTTGTTTCTGATTTTAGATGAAAAACTCTAAAGTTTTTCCCACTGAGTATGATGTCAGCAGTGGGTTTGTCATATATTGCCTTTATTATGTTGAGATATGTTTCTTTTATACACAAGTTATTGAGAGTTTTTATCATGAAGGAATGTTGTGTGTTGTCAAATGGTTTTTCTACTCTATTGAGATGATCATGTGATTTTTATCTGTGATTTGTCAATGAGTTGTCAAATTTATTGATTTGTATTTGTTGAACCATTTAAAAATATTTTTATTGATTTCAGAGAAGAAGGGAGAAGGAGAGAGAAATATAAACATCAATGATGAGAGAGATTCATTGATTGGCTGCCTCTTGCACACCCCACACTGGGGATCAAGCCCGCAACCCAGGCATGTGCCTTGACCAGAAATCGAACCTGGGACTCTGCAGTCTGCAGGCCGACGCTCTATCCACTGAGACAAACCAGCCAGGGCCGAAGGGTCTTTTTCCTTATGATTACAAATGTAAGACATGCTCACTATGGAAAAACGGAGAAAGGAGATAAGTAAAAACTCCGCCTCTCCAATAGCACCCCTTCTCTTCCCAAGAGTGCCCACCCCCATGAAACATGTGGTGTTCAGCTTCTGCGTAGGTTCAGGGGACAGCAGGGCAGAGTGAGATGGCAGACCCTAGAGCAGAGGGCCCGTGTCCACGTCCCTGCTCAGCCACCGGTGGCCTTTGTTCTTTAACCCCAAGCTGAGTGTCCTCGCTTGTAAACTAAGACCCATAAGTAATTGAGGTAGAACAACAGCTGGCACATGTAAGTGTTGTTATTCTTATTTTTGCATGTATTTCCTTCTATAAAACTAATTTTTAAAAGACATAATGGGCCCCGTTCTGTACATACCATTTGGAACTTCCTGCCAGCATTTACCTGCATATGTGAGGCTTCATTTCCTATAGCACTTACGGATCACCTCATCTTCCCCTTTTCCCTCAAGCCTCTGGCACTGCTGGCCTGGTTTGGGGATGCATCTCCTGAGCCGGGGTACTTTGCGCCTTGCTGCTTTTTCCTGGGTGCCTTCCCCTTGCCTGGGAGCTCTGAGGACAACCTCACCACCTCTGTTGTTCTCCCCAGTTCCTGAGAGGGTCAGCACCGTCACCTTTCAAGGGGACTACAAGAAGAAGAACTACGAGAACACTCTGATGAGTTTTAAGGAGGAGATCGCCCAGATTGGGATGGTGAGAACCTGTGCTTTTGCTCCCCTCCCATCCTTGAGC